GACCGGACAATAATGAGGTGATAGCCGAGGCTATTTGAACCACCCCACCGCCGGCACTCGGATAGTAATCTTGGGAATAGCATTTTACCAAATCACCTCATTCTTTGGGGCACACGTGAGGAACACAAATGCGAACAAGCCTGAATGGTCCCCAGGACAATATGCAACTGAAAACTCACACCCCAGAAGTGACTCGAACCCATACTCCCAGGAGCCACGCAACTGGTATGTACAAGACGCCTTAATCCACTTGACCATCACGACCGGACAATAATGAGGTGATAGCCGAGGCTATTTGAACCACCCCACCGCCGGCACTCGGATAGTAATCTTGGGAATAGCATTTTACCAAATCACCTCATTCTTTGGGGCACACGTGAGGAACACAAATGCGAACAAGCCTGAATGGTCCCCAGGACAATATGCAACTGAAAACTCACACCCCAGAAGTGACTCGAACCCATACTCCCAGGAGCCACGCAACTGGTATGTACAAGACGCCTTAATCCACTTGACCATCACGTCACTTCTGGGGTGTGAGTTTTCAGTTGCATATTGTCCTGGGGACCATTCAGGCTTGTTCGCATTTGTGTTCCTCACGTGTGCCCCAAAGAATGAGGTGATTTGGTAAAATGCTATTCCCAAGATTACTATCCGAGTGCCGGCGGTGGGGTGGTTCAAATAGCCTCGGCTATCACCTCATTATTGTCCGGTCGTGATGGTCAAGTGGATTAAGGCGTCTTGTACATACCAGTTGCGTGGCTCCTGGGAGTATGGGTTTGAGTCACTTCTGGGGTGTGAGTTTTCAGTTGCATATTGTCCTGGGGACCATTCAGGCTTGTTCGCATTTGTGTTCCTCACGTGTGCCCCAAAGAATGAGGTGATTTGGTAAAATGCTATTCCCAAGATTACTATCCGAGTGCCGGCGGTGGGGTGGTTCAAATAGCCTCGGCTATCACCTCATTATTGTCCGGTCGTGATGGTCAAGTGGATTAAGGCGTCTTGTACATACCAGTTGCGTGGCTCCTGGGAGTATGGGTTCGAGTCACTTCTGGGGTGTGAGTTTTCAGTTGCATATTGTCCTGGGGACCATTCAGGCTTGTTCGCATTTGTGTTCCTCACGTGTGCCCCAAAGAATGAGGTGATTTGGTAAAATGCTATTCCCAAGATTACTATCCGAGTGCCGGCGGTGGGGTGGTTCAAATAGCCTCGGCTATCACCTCATTATTGTCCGGTCGTGATGGTCAAGTGGATTAAGGCGTCTTGTACATACCAGTTGCGTGGCTCCTGGGAGTATGGGTTCGAGTCACTTCTGGGGTGTGAGTTTTCAGTTGCATATTGTCCTGGGGACCATTCAGGCTTGTTCGCATTTGTGTTCCTCACGTGTGCCCCAAAGAATGAGGTGATTTGGTAAAATGCTATTCCCAAGATTACTATCCGAGTGCCGGCGGTGGGGTGGTTCAAATAGCCTCGGCTATCACCTCATTATTGTCCGGTCGTGATGGTCAAGTGGATTAAGGCGTCTTGTACATACCAGTTGCGTGGCTCCTGGGAGTATGGGTTCGAGTCACTTCTGGGGTGTGAGTTTTCAGTTGCATATTGTCCTGGGGACCATTCAGGCTTGTTCGCATTTGTGTTCCTCACGTGTGCCCCAAAGAATGAGGTGATTTGGTAAAATGCTATTCCCAAGATTACTATCCGAGTGCCGGCGGTGGGGTGGTTCAAATAGCCTCGGCTATCACCTCATTATTGTCCGGTCGTGATGGTCAAGTGGATTAAGGCGTCTTGTACATACCAGTTGCGTGGCTCCTGGGAGTATGGGTTCGAGTCACTTCTGGGGTGTGAGTTTTCAGTTGCATATTGTCCTGGGGACCATTCAGGCTTGTTCGCATTTGTGTTCCTCACGTGTGCCCCAAAGAATGAGGTGATTTGGTAAAATGCTATTCCCAAGATTACTATCCGAGTGCCGGCGGTGGGGTGGTTCAAATAGCCTCGGCGATCACCTCATTATTGTCCGGTCGTGATGGTCAAGTGGATTAAGGCGTCTTGTACATACCAGTTGCGTGGCTCCTGGGAGTATGGGTTCGAGTCACTTCTGGGGTGTGAGTTTTCAGTTGCATATTGTCCTGGGGACCATTCAGGCTTGTTCGCATTTGTGTTCCTCACGTGTGCCCCAAAGAATGAGGTGATTTGGTAAAATGCTATTCCCAAGATTACTATCCGAGTGCCGGCGGTGGGGTGGTTCAAATAGCCTCGGCTATCACCTCATTATTGTCCGGTCGTGATGGTCAAGTGGATTAAGGCGTCTTGTACATACCAGTTGCGTGGCTCCTGGGAGTATGGGTTCGAGTCACTTCTGGGGTGTGAGTTTTCAGTTGCATATTGTCCTGGGGACCATTCAGGCTTGTTCGCATTTGTGTTCCTCACGTGTGCCCCAAAGAATGAGGTGATTTGGTAAAATGCTATTCCCAAGATTACTATCCGAGTGCCGGCGGTGGGGTGGTTCAAATAGCCTCGGCTATCACCTCATTATTGTCCGGTCGTGATGGTCAAGTGGATTAAGGCGTCTTGTACATACCAGTTGCGTGGCTCCTGGGAGTATGGGTTCGAGTCACTTCTGGGGTGTGAGTTTTCAGTTGCATATTGTCCTGGGGACCATTCAGGCTTGTTCGCATTTGTGTTCCTCACGTGTGCCCCAAAGAATGAGGTGATTTGGTAAAATGCTATTCCCAAGATTACTATCCGAGTGCCGGCGGTGGGGTGGTTCAAATAGCCTCGGCTATCACCTCATTATTGTCCGGTCGTGATGGTCAAGTGGATTAAGGCGTCTTGTACATACCAGTTGCGTGGCTCCTGGGAGTATGGGTTCGAGTCACTTCTGGGGTGTGAGTTTTCAGTTGCATATTGTCCTGGGGACCATTCAGGCTTGTTCGCATTTGTGTTCCTCACGTGTGCCCCAAAGAATGAGGTGATTTGGTAAAATGCTATTCCCAAGATTACTATCCGAGTGCCGGCGGTGGGGTGGTTCAAATAGCCTCGGCTATCACCTCATTATTGTCCGGTCGTGATGGTCAAGTGGATTAAGGCGTCTTGTACATACCAGTTGCGTGGCTCCTGGGAGTATGGGTTCGAGTCACTTCTGGGGTGTGAGTTTTCAGTATATATATATATATATATATATATATATATATATATATATATATATATATATATATATATATATATATATATAAATATATAATAGCTCTATCGTCCGAGCTATTGAGTAGTAGGAATAATGAAAGGAAATCATTTAATAAGAAAAGTTTCCAGAGCGAGAAGACTATTAAGACTGCTCAATAGCTCGGTCGATAGTGCTTCGGCCTCACACGCCTGGGGTCTACGGTTCGAGTCTCCTGAAACCCAAGTAGCAGCCCGTCCTCCAAACAAAGATCCAAAAGTGATTCCATGCACCCGCCAAACCCCCTGTTTATGCAGCTCGTCCTCCAAACAAAGATCCAAAAGTGATTCCATGCACCCGCCAAACTCCCTGTTTATGAATGAAAAGCGGTTTACACACGACTCACAACTGCTGACATTCGAACATATCCGGAACAAGTGCTTTACTGAAGAATTTTGTTCGAATCACAACGCTATAAATGCTTCACCCACGTACTACAAATACAAATAATCGCCAACAGAACCTAAACACCTAACCTAACCTATCCTATGCCTATATATACACAATATGCTAATATATTATAACATTAATTTATACATGAGAAAATTCCCGTTTTGAATGAACAGCATGTTAAAATTTATGAATGCGTCTGTGGGGTTGACTGCTGAATGTAATGGACTTGAGTCGAGGACGAGTTGCAAGTAGATAGAATTTTTATTCCCCGGAAGTGTGGATGACAGTTTATACCCACGTAGGTCAGCAGTAACTGTGATATGATTTACTTAGCTTAAGTGGATATTTTCCACACAATGTATTGTTTGTTCACTTAAGCGATTGTAATCATTCAATAAGACTAGACTAATTCATGCAAAATTGTGGAGCATAAATCAGTTACTAAAAGAAATATTACTTAATGTTCATTTTTATAAAGCAATGAATTATATAATATTAATGTAAGTCCAGGATTATATAAATTTGATAAATTTTTAATTGTTAAGATTTGTGATAGATAGTAAATTATGTGTATGTATGGATACACATACACATATAATTAAAATAAGTGTATGTGTGGATATCCCCCCACTCTAAGAATGAGGTGATATCCAGATAATCATCCAGATATTCATGTCACTTCCTTTAATCGATATTTTGGTTTATGGATTTACTTAGGTGTAATGGGGGGGGGGGGAGGTACATAATCCCACATTCTTGACTTTTCTGTCTATATTCCCTTTATAATATTGTGAAACATGAAAACGTTCGGAAATTTTGTTTCATTTTCCTATTAAATGAAAATGAATCACGTGCTTTTTTGTGTTTATTCTTGTATATATTGTTGATTTTTTTACCTGACTTGATGCAGCTAGTGTAATTGTGTATTGCGTGAAGTTCCATGAAAATCAGATTAAAACTGACGGAGATGTGTAAGTAAAGTTGGATGCTGGATTAACGGATGTAAATTTTCCAACTATATATGTAGTGTCATAAATCTTGAACAATATTCCTTTTAATTCTATAACTTACTTCGTATGCACTTTAAAACTACTTTTACTTATTAAATCTGATTAAGTTGTATGTTGTAATTGCAAAATATAACATAAAAGTTAATCATTAGTTGTCAATTCTTCAAGAATTGCTGCAATTATTTGCTCTGTCGTCAACAGCTAAAATCTTAAAATAAAATACTTAGAGTTGTCCGGTTTCATCAAATAAAGCTCAATGTATAGCCTATGAAATCTGATGGTAATAATAAAGTTAATAATAACTAAATAAAACAGCAAAACACAACCCTGTAACATGAACCAGCAGACCTGCTGTGACGCATGTTTTGTCTGTTCTCATGCCAGCATCGTCAGCAGTGCTGGGGAGGGCACAGGCAGTCTTACCAGTGACGTCAGCTGTGCCGTTGAGGTCAGAGGCAGTGTTATCAGTGACGTCAGCTGTGCTGGGGAGGTTGGAAACATTGTTGTCAGGTGCATCAACAGTGGCAGGGGTGGTAGAGGCTGTTTTGTCAGCAGCATCACAGCCCACCAACTCTGTGTTCTTCATTACTGATGGTTCCACCTCCACCTCAACTGTCTTTACCGTAAGAGCTTTAGTAGTTGGCAGCCTGTATTAACTGATGTTAAAACCATTTTCTAAGTTAGGATAGTTTAAGTAAATAAACAAATTTCGCTATAGAAAAGTATAATAGTCATCTGTTTTTAAATACCTATGATTATCAAGATTGCTAGCCTTGCTAGCCCATTAATCACTTTTTTTCTAATAAAGAGATGAACCTTTTCACTAATTAAAATTAATTAACTGGAAGAATTTTAGATCATTTGGCAAGATAGCATAGCATGACATTAAATAAATATGTTAGAAAGCATTTATGATTCCATTTAGTCCACAATCGAATATTTTTATTTTGAATCCTAAGTAAGAAACATTGAGATATGGAAAATTCTTCTATCCAAGTTTTATGACTCGATATGACAAAATAACAATTTAATTAACGTGATATTACGTGTATCCAAGGAAATATAGCAAAATTATTTTCACAATATTCCACAATTATATTTTTTTAAATTAAGAAAACAATGAAACAGAGTTGTAATAACTTGCTAGCCAATGATGAGGCTTATGCCTACTGTTTTTCTCGCTCCTGTGATGCAACTCTATCTCTGATGGTCATTGGATATGCCAGATCTGTCGATAAGTTCTGATTACAACTGACCAAATAATATTGGCATCCACTGCGAGGAATCCATTATGGTAATTCCCCATTTTCGGTTCTAACATATTGGAGCCTTCATGATCTAGCAGGTTGCCGCTTCAAGGCAACTCTGTATTTTTTAACTGGATAACTGTTTTCGTTACTCAGGACTCCAAGAGACGGGGTGGGGAAAAGGGGTTAACCCCCCATGTAGGTATGGTGGGTCCATGGTCCAGAGAAATCTAGCTCGCCTTCTGCCTCTCACGAAATGGGGAAATGTGAGGGACAAACCACCCCGACCTCCCTTTAAACCCATTGACACTCGATTCGCGACGTTTGTTTCCCCTCAAAGTGACTGGTTCCATGGCTCTAACTTCCCTTAATCCCTTGTTGATTACAAAAGTTATTGATGGATATTGTGGTCCTTTTGGCGTTAGGAAAATGCCTGAGGGCACTCTTTTTATTAAAGTTAGTGTCTCTACTTAAGTCCAGCAATTGTTGAAACTGTGCAAGTTCCGTTGTTATAATGTTGATGCCTCTATCCCAGTGATAATGAATACTGTGGAGGACTTGTCTACTGAATTTTTGACTAATAATGAATGGAGGACGATCTCTCTGGTTAAACTAACTTACACATCAAAACTCTCTGAACATTTGATTGTCGGATATGATTGCCACGATATCTCATTTCTCGATATCCCTTTTGTATCTCATCCTCTCAGATGTCTCATATGTCTAAGTGTGGTCATGAGTCAATTGCTTGTAATATCTCAAACTTACATTGTGGGAAGGAGAGAGGATAGGTGCATACCTCACCAATTACTCAGTTTACAGCCTTTGCTCTGAGGCATTTGATGATGGACATAGTTTGCTTCTTGCTGTATTGCCCTCATGTAGAGTAATTACGAGTAATTTTAATGTCCATCATCTACAGTGAGGAACCATCCAGACTGGTAGGCGAGGCCTCCCAATGGTGAATTTAATTCTCAACACGATTCACATTCTTCTGAGCGACGGTAGGGGTATTTGTGAAGATAATCAGTCTGGCAGTGTTTCAGCTAAAGATATGCCATCGAACGTGATTCGACGCATGGCTGCCAGATAAAACGGATGTGCCTGCATTTTGCTACTGTGTTGACGTCCACGGATTGTAGTTGGTGGTTTTGTGTTATGTACTCTGTGTACTCTGCTTTTGCAGGGTACAGTTGCTTCAGGGTGGGGTCGCCAATGCCTCCCCTTAAGAGGTCTTCGTCGGCAGGCCTGGAGTTCTCTATACAGGCAGATCATATGATGGTTAGTGTAGCGCTGACAGAGGTGCTTCAGGTCAAGATTGAGGATTTAGTGGGCATCTAGCTCATCAGTGAATGGCGTGTGGTGGTCAAGTTCCAACAACAAAGAGAGTTTTTAGGGTTCGTCGATCGTTGTGAAGGTCACACCTACCCCTTGCCTGGTGGAGTAGGCACTGTCAAGGTTACCAACATGATACCTGGTTGATGGGGTTCTGGGAGTTCTTCTACTCCCCAAGCCCGGCCCGAGGCCAGGCTTGACTTGTGAGAGTTTGGTCCACTAGGCTGTTGGTTGGAGCGGCCCGCAGGCCCACATACCCACCACAGCCCGGCTGGTCCGGCACTCCTTGGAGGAATAAATCTAGTTTCCTCTTGAAGAAGTCCACGGTTGTTCCGGCAATATTTCTTATGCTTGCTGGGAGGACGTTGAACAACCGCGGACCTCTGATGTTTATACAGTGTTCTCTGATTGTGCCTATGGCACCTCTGCTCTTCACTGGTTCTATTCTGTATTTTCTTCCATATCGTTCACTCCAGTACGTTGTTATTTTACTGTGTAGATTTGGTACTTGGCCCTCCAGTATCTTCCAGGTGTATATTATTTGATATCTCTCTCGTCTTCTTTCTAGTGAGTACATTTGGAGGGCTTTGAGACGATCCCAATAATTTAGGTGCTTTATTGCGTCTATGCGTGCCGTGTATATTCTCTGTATTCCCTCTATTTCAGCAATCTCTCCTGCTCTGAAGGGGGAAGTGAGTACTGAGCAGTACTCAAGACGGGACAACACAAGTGACTTGAAGAGTACAACCATTGTGATGGGATCCCTGGATTTGAAAGTTCTCGTAATCCATCCTATCATTTTTCTGGCTGTCGCAATATTTGCATGGCTATGCTCGTTAAACGTTAGGTCGTCAGACATTATTATTCCCAAATCCTTTACATGCTGTTTTCCTACTATGGGTACATTTGATTGTGTTTTATACTCTGCATATGTTTAAGGTCCTCATTTTTACCGTACCTGAGTACCTGGAATTTATCACTGTTAAACATCATGTTATTTTCTGATGCCCAGTCGAAAACTTTATTAATATCAGCTTGAAGTTTGTCAGTGTCTTCAGCCGAGATAATTTTCATACTGATTTTTGAGTCATCTGCAAAGGATGATACGAAGCTGTGACTTGTATTTTTGTCTATATCTGATATGAGAATAAGGAAAAGCAGCGGTGCAAGGACTGTACCCTGAGGTACAGAGCTTTTAACTGCACTTGGACTAAAGTGTCAGTCTTGGGCCTGACACACTTGGAGTGTGTCAGTCACTTACATGGCTGTGCGCCGTTTGAAATGCAAGAAGAGCTGTTGACCTGGTTGTTTCGGCGCTATGGAAAGGTTCTTTCCGTTAGGTGGAATAAAGTTACTGCTGGGTTGTTGGATGGTACACGGACTTTAGTGATGTCCCTGATGCAACAAATGCCGTCCTCGGTCTCCATGATGGGACTTCATCTTCGATGTATGTTTTTGGGCCAACCCCATACATACGTTCGTTGTAGATTGACTGGTCACCTGACGGTGGCGTGCACGATTGGTGTGGTTGACGAGGTGAATATCTTCAGAGAGGAAGATATTCCGCATCCCGGTTCCCCAGAATTGACCATTCACCGCCCTTGGGGGTGGTGAATGATGGAGTGCCAAGCCTCCATTTTGCACGGATGGTGAGACGGTGGATCTCCATGATCCAGGTGCAGCCGAAGAGGTGGAGGTGTGTGTATCCAGTGCCCCCGGAGATTGATAGTACGCCAGTGTGCCTGGATGATTTTGCGACAGATGGATTGAGTGTGCGGCTGCAGGTTCTGGTTGGAGATCCTCGATGTGCCACCTGCTGTAGTGTTGGAGGATGCTTCCCCGGGGATGTCACCGTTGGTGTTGGAGTCCGCTACTGGTGTGGCTGCCTCCCCTGCGGTGCATTTAGGGGTAGAGGTTCCCCCCTCCTCTCTGTTGACGCTCCAATGGAGGGTGTGCGTCCCCCCTCGACAGCCTCAGGATATGTCGCATTCGGCTGACCTCATTCCTAAGCAGAAACGCAGGAAGGGCGCTGTCAGGTTGTGGTCCTATGGTAGTGAGTGCCCAGTGGAGAAAACGGAAGATGAGCTTCGGGGCACGGATGGTAGTGTGGTTGGGGTGGAGCAGGCACGGGGTGAGGTTGATTCCTCCTTGGAACTGCTCAGTGGGCTCCCTAGTGCCAGTGGTCCGAGGTGGAGGGTCGTTGATCCTGGTGCCCGTGGACGTGTAGGGCATGCTTTGAGTTGAGGATGGTGTTCAAGAGGAGGTCTATCGCCCCTCCTCTGGGGGTTTCCTCCTACTCGAGCTTCCCTTTAATACAAGGCGGAGTTGGTGATTGCCGGGTGGTGTCCCAATGTTGTCTAAGTTACTGCTGCCCGATAGTTAATAAAACTTCTGTTTCCCTTTCCCGATGGCTCATTATGGTGTTTCATTTGTAACTCCTTGAAAGCCAGTGTGGTACATTTACTTGTGACTCAGTTGGGTCTTCACTCGATGCATCGATGCCATAAGGTCGACATAGATTTGGTTTTGGAGCATAATGTACATGATGTGGGCGTACTACAGGGTTTAGCTGATGGGGTATTAGATCTTGTTGAACCCTATCTGATTGTTGAAAGGGGGAACGTTAGTGCTGATCTCCAAATGAGCTCCGATTTCGGTGCTACATACGGAAATAGTTGATGATAGGCTGATTTTTTTTTTGCGTATTTTCTTTTCTAGGGGCTGTGATTCCTTTGTTAAATGTTTATGCTCCTTCTGGTTCTGCTAGGCGGCGGGAGCGGGAGGCTTTCTTTTCTACAGAGGTTTTGCATTTTATGAGACATGATACTCGATCTCTGGTTTTTGGGGGCGACTTCAACTGTCCAACGTCGGCTCGGAACTGTCTTAGTGGTCTGTCCACAAATGTGTCCCGTGCTTTGGTTGAAACTCTACGGTGTTGTGGGTTTAGGAATGCAGCCATGGTCCATGGGGGGGGGGGCTTTGGATTTCACCTTTGTCTCTCATGTTTCGGGTTCCTAGTAGGATAGATCTTATATTCATAG